GTGAACTAGTAGTAGCACATTCTATGTTAAAGAATTAGAGATCAAATGTTGGGTTTGCGTAACAAAAGCATTTTTGGGTGTTTCAACTTTTGGCTAGGATACAGAAAATTGATGCTTAGAAACCTTTTGGCATCTATTTGCTTTGTTAAACAACATTTGTGTTGCTATGTGCCGCAGAGACAGACAGATTTGTTATTAACAGCATCTCTAAAAGCTTTGACATCTCGTTGTCCCCACAGGCAAAGCTGGAGCCACTCACAAACCGTCCGACAACGGTCAGCTAAGCAGCTGAGCTGCTGATGTCGAGACTCAAACCTGAGCTCATCACAGATCGGATGTGTCTGCTGCCTGAACGTGGTTTTTAGTTCAACACAAAGTTAACCATTCCATGGTGGATTAGGATTGTTCCTGAACGAAAACAGATCATCATCTGGCAGGTAGCTGCTGATGAGCGAAAACCGCCCAAAAACCAGGAAAGGGATGTTTTTAAAACTCTTAACTAATCTACTGTCAAATAAAAATACTTCAATGATTCCAGCAGGTTGCTTTAACTTTTCTTTGACAAATTTAGCTTCTTGTTTCCCGCCGTTTAGTCTTTGTGCTAGCTGGGCTAACTCCAGCTAATTTTTGAGTTTCAACCTCTTCAGCCCTGCTCTCACAGAACTGCTTGGCGCTAAAATGGAGTACGATCTTTTGCTACCGCTATGGTTTGTCTAGATTTCTAAGCTATAGAATAGCTAATGTAATAAAATGTATGTCTGATTTATCTCTGTTGGTTTGAATCTTATTTGATTATTCACAATTACTGGATGTAGGAATGATGACACACAAACATAAGTGTGCAACGAGCTAGAAGTCCAGTGCTGCCTGTATTTCTCACTAAGCAGGCTAACTGGAATAATGCTAACAGAGGTTCTATGTCTGATTCCCCGTGTGCAATGGAAAAAAATAAAAGGATGACCAAGGTGTTGAACACAGCCTGGTAAGCTATCCTGTATAGTCTGGCCACGACCCATAGACAGAACTCAGTTGTGAGCCAGATCATATTCTTTCAAACTGTCGCCATATTGGTCAGCATTAGGACCAATCAGAGCAACGAATAACAAATGTGATGCATTCATTGCTACAGAAATCAGTCAAGGGGGCAGCCCGCTGTACACCACTGAAGAAGAACTAGAAACAAATGAATCCTTTTTCAAAATAAAGTACATTGAGTTCCTCTTTGATCTGCTCTTGACACAAAGAAAGTTCAAGTCTAAATCATACAAAGTTTCAAACGAGTCCTGAGCCAGCGCCATCTTTGTAGTTTTTCTCCGTTGCAGCTCTGGTGCTAAGCTCGCCTAACATCTCTCTACAAACGTACAGTGCTGTGATTGGCTGGACCTGCAATCGTTTGGCCTTCTGCTACGGTTTGTCCAGGCTTGAACACGGCGTCAGTAAACCAAATGTGTCAAATCACAAACTAACAATCTGAATAAGGTACAATGTAAAGTCAATATTGAAGTTAAAATGAATTAGAAAGAATTAAATTGCATCATAACAACAATATAGCACCAACAGAATAAATGTACGTGGACACAACGTGGAAAAGCTGAACCTTACAAGTTAAAATCGTAGTTTGTTTGAGGCTCATTGGTAAAAAACTCAACTCTTGGACTTTTGTAGATGATGGGGATGATCAACAGCCGGTTTGGCCGACCGTAGAGAACAAAGTTCAGGATTCATGACAAACAGAAGACTTTTAATACATAATAAATGTGTTTTTAGACATAACTAATGACAACTAATACACACACACACACATGGCAACACTGGTGTGTCATGTAATCCTGAAGCCTGATCAGCACTACGCTGAGTTGTTTCCATGTTTACAGAAGTATGAGGAACAGAGCTGGTGAGGTTTTACCGGCTGTGCTTCCTCTAATCTTGTAGGATCGAGAACATCACAGGATGATTTTTTGGGATGAATGGAGCTGTGGTCAGTCTTTTCTGCTTAATTGAGGCATTTAGGGTAGAAGAGGCTTAAAAGCCCAAGTCTTCCTTGGCACTGATGGCTGTCCTATAAGGGACTCTCAGTAGGACCCTTGGGTCTTTTCAGGGCCCTCGCCGGCATCCTTTGGGGCCGTCTCACCCCCCACAATAAACAGGCAGCCCTTTGTCACGGTGAGGGGGGGGGGGGGGGGGGGGGTCTCCTCGTTATTATTTTCTGAAGTAATTATACCTTATTATCTGTGTTTACTTGAGCGGGGGTGCAGGAGTGCAGGTGTGGGCCTTTCTGCCGTGGGTTTGCAGGCTCACTGGTAAACGCACCCCCAAGTTTTTTTCTTTTTTTTCTACCTCTTTATTTTGAATCTCTCATCCCTTCATCTTTACTTTGTGGTTTTGGGGGGTCTTAGTGGTAGTATTGTAGCCCTACTGTTAATTTCAGCCCAACAAAAGAAACGTGCAATTAGGGCTATTATCGTAGCAGCTGCACACTTCCTGGCTGTGCAGCGACAGCTTCATCCTCAGCCCGGCTCGTTGCAGAGGGGATGGGAGCGAGGAGCAGCAGAGAGGGCAGCGCCGTGCCAGTGGGAGACGGAGAGCTGGAATGGTCATGACCGTCTCGGCGGAAAAGGAGAGAAAAATACAGCCTGGGAGGCTGGAGTGTTTCTGCAGCGTAGACACAGCAGGGACTCTCGCCCACAGGCTTGTGGGCCTTGAGAACAAAGGATCTGCCATCTCCCAACATGAAGTGTTATGAAATAGTCCTCACCACAGCTCTATTGGCTGCTCTCTTGCATGTGGTCTCAGAATGCGTGGGCTCAGAGAAACCCATTTGCAAATAGGAAAATGCCTTTTTTAAGGTTCTGGGCCATCGGAGAGACAAAAACCTGTCTGTTTTAAACTACAATAATTACGATGAGCATGTGTGAAATATGCTGCTCGCTACGTCATTCACAAGGTGATTCACGTGGGTCGCCAAGAAGCAACCAAAACAACAACAGCAGCGGATTAAAGACACGAGCAAACGGCGACCGATAGGGAGGCATCGACCAGCTCCCCCGTCTTTGTTAGGCTGAATACTGAGGGCCCGCCGAGGCCCTCGCAGCCTCGCACACAAGGGAGCAATCTTACGCTCTCAGCACAAACAAAATGGTCACAAGTCCTCCTCTGTGGCTCTCACTTACCGATTCTCTCACCCCACTGACTTTGTAGCATTTAGAATAATCACAGATCACAAGATCCTGCATGTCACTCAAACGTGAGCCCTGCTTTATTTCTGCAAGACGTGCAAAGAAAATATTTATTTTGTTTATTGAAATGTTTAGCAGCAGCAGCTGGAGCCCAGAATAACAACTCCACAGAGATAATGATGTTTGGAATGAAGAGGACCGTTTCTGTTCTCAAAACACGACGACTGACCACAGATTTTCAATTAAGGTGCAGGTTTTTTTTTTACTTTAGTGCAACACAATAAATCAGATAAGGTGCAAAATAAATCACTACATCTAACCAAATTTATCCTTTTAAAACATTGTATTTTTCACACTTGCTACAAAATCCGAACACACTGAAATTTCTCCATATTTGATGCAAAAGTAATCGGATTTATTTTTATTTTTTCATGTTTCTCATTTCTGTAGAAATTGCATAAACATATTTATTTAGTTTGACCGAAATAGTGTGGGTTTCTATTTTCCACCAGTGTCAGCTACACGTGTGCTACAAGCGGTTTAAGACTGAACCTCGTATAAAAGCCCGACAGCGCTGGGATCTTCCAGTCCTATTTACTGCAACCAAGCATCAAAGCAGGGATGCACAATCTATCGGCTGATGTTAGCCCTTTCTTAACCTATCTGTATCGGTCCGATAAGTAAAAATGGGCCAATATTAACCAATGTTTTCCCCATTTTGTGTATCTGTTTCAAGGGGGGAGGGGGTGATGATGCGTGATTGTTTAGTCATGTGACAGTAATGGTAATCATCTCAGAAGTGAAAATATCTGTGGTGTGTGTGTGTGTATATATATATATATATATATAAAACACACAGATATTGTTATTGGCAAATATCGGCCATAACAGCTGAATTAGTCTAGGATTTCAGTATTTGCCTCAAATTTGATATCGGTGCATCCCTAGCACAAATATTAACCCTACTAACACAGGAAGACGTACTAAAAAGTGCAGAGTGGCACATAAACATATCTGTTTTAGTACTAAACTTGCTATAAAACTGAATTATTTACTCCATTTCACCTCATTAGGACCCCGGAAACCGAAAGTCGACAAAACACAGACGAAATCATTTTTTCGGGGAAGTGTGGAAGGTTTAAATTGGCCTCTGGTTCCAAGCGGGGATTCCTGCTGCGTGGAGCAGAGAAGGGCTGGGCTGGCAGTAGGGGCAGGCCCCATGCTGAGGGACACCCCCCCCCCCCCGCCTCTGACAAACACAGCAGTGGATAATTTCTTCTTCAGGGACTCAGTCCAGCTCTGTGGGGCCGGAGGGCCCAGGGCTCTCTGTGTGCAGCATGCACCACGAGCACACACCTGTTGACGCTGACATTTCTTCCAGCTTACATTTGTTCACGTTTCGTCTATCACAGCGATTTTCAGTTCTCAGTATCTGCTATAAATGAGTCGTTCATGTTGCCACGACAACCCGAGTGACACCATGAAGTAGTATCCTAACTAAAGCAAAAGCATACTGGAGGTTGAGTTAACTCAGATTTGTCCTGCAACAATCAGTTTTTACTTAGAGCTCAGGTGGTGTGTACCTGCTCAGGTTAATAGAAGCATGTACCAAAAGTCTCTGATAATGATTGTTTATGCCTTATTGGTTCACCAGATCATGAGTCAGAAAAGTTTGAAAAAGTAACAAAAAAAAAAAAACGTGATCTCAGTGATAATAACTGTCTGTGCAGCAGATTTAAATATAATAACTTTACTGGAAAATACATTTTCTCATCATGTGAAGTAAAACTGGCCAGTAGAAAAAAACAAATGGATACGGAAAGCTTCTGCCAAACACTTTACTCCCATCAACGTTTGTTACAAAAAAGAAAGGCTGATGAAACTAATTAACATTTGAAAAGCGGGGCGGTGAACGACCCAGCAATAAGAGTCCATATCCAGCGGAAGGCTCCGTGAGCCACTACGACGTCTCCATCTTGTATCCGTGCTTTTCCAGCTCCGCTCTGCAGGGAGGAGAAGGAAAATAAAAGATCAAGTCAGCAGAGATGATTACAGGTGGGCGGCCGGGGCACAAGTACCCTCGGCTATTGATTGTAAGAACCATTAAGTGATGGAAGTGAAAAAAATAATAATACATAAATATTAGATAACGCATGCAGCCATGGATTTAATGATTATACACACATATGGCCGCTGTGCCCTTACGCAATAATGATATCTTTAAGAAACAACTTAATAGTACGGCGACTGTAACTGACCTAAATACAACAGCATTCTGCTGTCCTGAGTGTACTCAAACATAAACAGAGCTGCCACGCATCTATCAGCTGGTATCGATTCTGTGTGTCGGCCTAAAACGCATCATCAGTCCCATCCCTGAGGAGAAACGCGCTTTAATCAATCCAAACACTAAGCCCATAGTAATGTCACTAGGGATGGGTACCTTTGACATTTGAATCGATTCGGTGCTAATTACCACTACCTAGGAATCGATACCGGTACTTAACGGTACCAATTTTAGATACTTTTGAGTGTTTAATATTTTGATTCTCTTTTATAATTAAATATATATTTTTCTCAATTCATAACCATATTTGATAAATATCACGATAAATAACATATAACAGTTTGTATTTTAACATCGTCCTTGTAGTTTTATAAGCTGATAATTAAACTGAAGCAAACATCTTTACTGTGAACTAAATTTACTGTGTATCTTCATTCCTTTTACCGTCCTTTTTCATTTGATTTTTCCTACTGGGAAGTTAGAATTTCCGAGGAGAAAGCGAACGCACCATTAGATGATAACAATGGTGGCATAGGAAGCTAACATATCAAGCTAACGTTATCTTAAACAGTTTAACTACTGGAGCAGATTTAAACGATGATGCCTCACACTTAGATCGTTGTCACTGGTTCATCTTCACCCAATCACCCGTCGCATTTAGTAAAGCGAAGCCAAACTTTAGAGCGCGTTCATGTTCTTCTAGTCGGGATTTCGGAGTTCCGAGGAGAAAGCGAACGCACCATTAGTGAAACGGAAGCTAACAAATCAAGCTAACGTTATCTTACATTTTATTTACCTACCGGAGCAGATTAAGATGAGGATGTCTCACTTAGATCGTTGTCGCTGTTTTCATCATCACCCAGTTACCCATCACATTTAGTGAAGTGGACCCAAGCTTTAGCGTTCGTTCTTTCTACCATGCTGCTCTGTTTACAACTCGCTCGCAGGGACCGATGACATAACGCTCTTGCGCATGCGCAGCTGTCTAGGCAAGTACTCGTTGTGAAGGACGGGTATCGAAACGAGGCACCCTTTCAAATGAAGTGAATCGGTGCTCGGCCGGTACTATGGAATTCGGTCGGTACCTTAAAAAGTACCGAATTCGGTACCCATCCCTAATTTTTCCATGTTGTTTAAAAGCATTTTGCTTACACAACATGAACTATGAAGAAACTTCTGAGCTAAAACGTTTCAACAGAACAAAGTACTTCAGGCCCTGCAGATTTTTATCCACATCAACAGAAAACTTGAGAACTGCACAACAATATTGTCCCGATTTAGTTTTCTAAACATCTGGTGCTGATACTGAAGTTTAGAGAGTTTATGCTGGATAATTCGTTGGAGCGAGGGGGAAATGTGGCAGAGTGCTCGTAAGTTTGGTGTGGAATATATTTTTATTTTAACTAGCAGGTGGACAGCAATGGCTCAACAGAATAAAACGGCACATATTATGTTGCCATTTAATGTTTTCTCATAAAACACTCTGTACACAACAAAACTATCTAAACACTTAGTTTTCTACAACAATCTGAACAAGAACATTTCAGGTATCATTTATAAAATAAAAAAAACAGGAAATCAAGAGCTCACGTGGAAGCAAGAACCAAACAGTCATAAACACCACTGTTCACCAGCCACGTGAGATGATGATAAAACAGCCAGTTTAACGGTTTCGGGTTGACTTGCTCACCTAGATAAAAGTACACTCTAAAGTATTTACACAGAGTCTGTTCAATCCTGCATGAATCTGAGGGTTACCGTAGCTGATTAGAGAAATCATCCTCCACATTGTCATCGTCCCAGTTGTCCTCCCAAACATGAGCGTCTTCATCTTCATCCAACCCCGTCCAATCTGGAATAACAACGCATGCATGTCAGTAAATATAGCTGTAACCTATAGATTCACTCTTAAAAACCCTCCACATGAGCTGATGTTTCACCTGTTCTCGTTTTCCTCCGTAACACTGTTAGCTAATGCGTGCTAATGAACACAGGTGGTGAAACATCAAAACGGTACAACTACACAGATATAATACAAGCACGTTTCCGCATTACAAGACAAAAAGATCTACTAAGCTGAATAATCCGTTTTGCTGAGCTAGCTACCAGTTCCTTGCTGTTTTCCCAGCTAACCGAAGCTAAGGCTAACGCTAGCTGAGTCATCGTAGCTAGGCTCAGAAGCGACAATCCGCTAAAACAAAACTACATCGCTAAATAACAAGTGGCTGGTTTACCTTCAGCTGGGAATTCTTCAAACTCGTCATCCTCCTCTAGTAATCCCAAATCTACGGTCTGTTTCTTGTCTGCCATGTTATCTGTCTCACTCCGCCGCTGCTTGCTAATGAATGCTTCCGTTCCACACGCGCAAACGGAATTCTGGGAATCTGTGTCTGTTCACGCGAGTTGTTACTGCGCAAGGGAGCGCAGGAGGAGGCGCAGCTCCTAAGAAGAAGGAGAAAATGTCATTTCTATAGCGCCTCTCAAGATTAAAATCACGAGGCGCTTCACAAAAATAAAAAAGAATTTAGAAAATGGTTAAACATATATTTAAAATGAGCAAAAATAGACAATTGTGATTAAAAAATGTTAAGAAAGAGAGAGAATGAATAGGAAAGAGGGAAATCAGTGGATCCTGAGGAAGGTGGAATAGGTGGGGAGAGCAGAATAAAGAGAGAGTGGTGAAGAAGGTCATACAAAAGCCAGCTTGAACAAGTGAGTCTTCAGCTGTTTTTAAAGGAGACCACTGAGTCCACTGATCTCAGCCTCAGGGGGAGAGAGTTCCAGAGTCTGGGGGCCACAGCAGCAAATGATCTGTCACCTTTGGTCTTTAGCCTGGTGCACTGCACAACCATTAGGCTTTGATCACTGGACCTCAGGGACCTGCTGGGGGTGTAGGGACAGAGAAGATCACCAATGTAAGATGGTGCTTGTCCATGTAAGGCCCTATAGACCAGAACCAGGATCTTCAAATGAACCCTGAAGTTGACTGGCAGCCAGTGAAGCTGAAGGAGAAGCGGGATGATGTGGGTATATTTGGAGGAGTTGGTCAGAAGCCGAGCACAGGCGTTCTGAACCACCTGCAGATGGTTCAGGGAGGTTCTGCTCAGACACGTGAAAAGAGAGCAGACCAAGAGCAAAAATCACTTACAGACGGCTTTGTGTGCAAATGTTTTTAATGGATCACGCTGAATTTGAGCTATTTCTAACTTTTACCTTATTTAGAATAGAATAGAATAGAATAGAATAGAATAGAATAGAATAGAATAGAATAGAATAGAATATCAATTTATTGTCCCTCAGTAGGGAGCTTATAGTGTCACTGAATCAATAACATTCATTATATTGAGCAAATAGGAAAGAAAAAAAATTAAGAGTAAATATCAAGAAAACCAATTGCAGAAATACTTAGAAAGTTAAAAATAACTAAATACTGGATGTAAACACATGATAAGAGATACTGCCTTCTTGCAGTCTCTTTGATCGCAATAGACTTCACCTGGTCAATAAAAGATTAAATATACATTTTTAATAAATGCATTGACGATTATCTAACAAACATTCAAAACAACAATTAACTTTAACAAAATGAAGGCATCGTTGTTCTTTATTCCAAAGGATAACAGTCGTATTACATAGATCTAATTTAAGATTTATATAAATAATTACATAGAAGACATTAAAATGTGGTGTCATTTGTTTTATTTTCAGTGTCAGTGACCACGGTTACCTGAATTAGACGATGATGGTTCAGGTCAGGTTGTAATTAAAATGAATACCGGTAAACTAAACTCCAGTAGGCAGGGGCGGCGTTAGGCCCGGCTACTTGGGCTCAAGCCCCGAACGTTTTATGAAAAGCCCCCAGATCTAAAACGTGGAAGTAACATGCAGTACCAAAGTCCAACAGAGAGGGAGCAGCTGGCAGTAGTTTGTATACAGCCTGCCTGAGCCTCCACCACTGAAGAAGAAGCCCTTCAGCAGCCGGCTTCTTCTACACTCTCTGCCTGAAACGCTAATGTAAAGATGGACATAAGGGCGCTTTTTAGACCAAAAGTACAACGACAGAACCCCAGCTTTGATGAGACTGGTGTTGACTCAGGTTTGTGAGTCTTATTTGAAAATATTTGTTGTGCTGCTGGTTTGCCTAAAGTTAGCTTACTATCAGGTACAGTTGTTGGAGAAAGAAAGGGAATATTTACTATCATCTCACACTAAACACTAACAGGAACAATACTCTGCCCTGAAAATGCTGAATATGTAGCTTCACATTAAAAATTATGTGGTACAAGACATATATGATGTTGACTAGTGCGTGTCATGTGTTAAGCCCCGGATCTTCTTCAGTCCTAAATCCGCCCCTGCCAGTAGGGTCATTTAATTTGGCAAATCTGAAATTCTCATGATTTTGACTCTATCATGTTTATTTCTCACACACTATCGGGTTTATTAAAGGTGAGCAAAATAACTTAATGATGGGCTGTATGGGGACAGTTGGTGCTGTTGCTTCACAGCAAAAAGGTTGGAGGTTCGGATCCCACTAGCAGCATTTCTGTGAGGAGTAAGTGTGTTCTCCTCATGCATGTGGGTTTGCCCCTCAGACTAAACATGCATTTCAGATTAAATGGAAACTCTAATCTGTAAATGTAACTGGTTGTTTGTCTGTGTGTATCCCTGTGATGGACTGGAGACCTGTCCAGGGTGTCCCCCACCTCTCGTCTGGTGGACGCTAGCCTTCTGTCACCCTAATGAGAATTATGAGTGGTTCTCACATGTTTGGGACTAAAAATGCAACATAGACTCATGTCAGCTGATTAAGACAACTTTATGCATTTAGAGCATCCAGTCCACATTTATTTCTAACTCACATCATCACTAGAAAAACAAAGTAAAGCACATATCTAGATTGGATAAAGGTAAATCTGCTAAAATAACACAACTTTACTAAACACACACCAAGTTTTACAATAAAGGTGTTTTAAAATTAAATATGAGAATAATATTTAATCTTTAAGAAAACCTCATAAAGCTACTGATAAGTTCATCATCGGGTAAATTTATTTTATTAAAACATTTTCAGATGAAACTACAGATTATCATTCTAACTGTAGTTTTTTCTAATAAACATTGATTTTATTAATTATCTAGCAAAGATATGGTTGTGTTAATCTTTGTGGAGGAAAAAACTAATTAAAAATAATTTTTTTTGTAAATTTACTGAATTATATTTTCTCAGTCAGATCAAACTCTTAATTAAGGCACTGATTATTAGAGTTAATAGGTGAATGCAACACTTTAGGGGTCTAATTTAACGTTTTCTAATCCCAAACTCTACGGTGAGACATTTTGATCTAATAACTGACAAATGATCATGAAACAAAATTCCAGTCGGCAGGTTTTTAAAACTAGTTTTCTCTGTCAGGAGACACACACACACACACACACACACACACACACACACACACACACACACACACACACACACACACACACACACACTCACCACAAAAGCCTCCTTCCTCTAAACATATGCACTCAAGCCGTTTAAATTTCAGCAGTGATTTTTCATCCTGGAAAAAATGCACATGGCATCCCCGAGCCACTCGCTCCTATAATGAAGCAGGAGCCACAGCTCAGGATGTCTTTAAGATAAATGAGAGTGCACGTTTACCACAAAACCACTCACGCCACAATGGAAACGGCTCAGCAGCTGTCATACGTTGACAGACGGAACAAACCTCAGCTTAAGCTCTGCACACTTATTCTATTTTCTAATTATTTAGTAATCACCCTGAGCCTTTACATGACAGCACCGCAACACTTAAAGGGAAAAGGAAGAAGACAAGCAGCATCCCACTAGATCACAGCAAAGCTTTTTATTGTTTCTGATGCCAGAAAATTTTATTTTACAGATTTTTTTACGCAGAATTTTATTTACCATATGCTGAAAATATGCAGGTGGTGCATGTCTTGTTCTGTTTTACTGATATGAGGTCAACTTGACTCATATTTTAACACATTTGCATTGGTCTGTAGTAATGAATGCATTGTAAATTGTAACACAGGGGAACAAAAGCACTGGTGCACCATTTTCAGGAACATTTTATTGATACGAGTTGCTTTCTTCCATATTGACGTCTACAGAGGAACTTCTTTTAACCCTTCACAATAAGAGTTTCTAGCATACACACATACCTTAACTCATTCACTGCCAATGACGACTAAAGTCGTCATTTGCATTTTTTACTGTTTGAGCATCGCAACGAGCCCCCGCGCTGAGAGAACAAACATCTCAGCCCTGAAGCCGATTTTCATCCGCGTACATCACAGATCACATGATCAGGAAGCAACACATCCATGTGTTTGGAGATCGTTTTGGGCCGTTCCTGTGAAAAAAGTGAGGTGCGAACCGGAAAAGCGTCTGCCGATCACAATTCGACAACGGATTATGAAAGAACGGAACACGCGGCTTCTTCCTGATGTAAGAGGTGAGTCTCCTCTTTGTTTTGGTTGTTTTGGCATCGACATCATGCTAGCGCGCAACGTTCTGTGACTCTTAAAAAAAACAGTAAAAGCGGTGAGGAACGCTGGCAGCGAAGGCCGTTAGTGATCAGAAAACGGCTGGCAGTGAATGAGTTAAACACACCTGACGCATCCAAATGTGCTGTTTGAAATTTCTCAGACAGTTTTTGCACGGCAGGTGTCCGAGTCTACTGTCAAACAGTCGAGAAAAGTTGTACGATTTCTTCTTTTGGAAGATACCTAAACACGTTTTAGCTTTAAAAATCATCCAAAACAATAAATTCTTCATCAAAATTCTCAAAAGAACGTCTCATATTTAGTTTGTCACGGGCTAAATCTGCCGCCGTTTCAGTTTTTAGACGCAGAAGGTTGAGATGATGGGATCAGATTTACTATAAGCCACCCAACAATGCAGTTTTATTCTCATCTTTGGTTATGGAGCATTTTCATGTATGAATGCTGCACTGTCTTGCTCGGAGCAGCCTGGCCTCCCCGAGGGGTTCCTGGTTCTGGTTCCCGTGTCACTCACTCAGGTGGGAGTGAAGTCCTGGGAAGTGGTCTCCATGTCCGTCCAGCATACCTGAGACTGTGGTAACCCTGCGCCTGGCGCCTGGAGTCTCTCTGCTCAGGTAAAAAAAGAAATGGGGGGAGGTGGAGTGGAAGAAGGGGGGTTTATTGACGGGAGATCCAACATGGTGGCTGCAGACAGACTCCATCACGACTTGTGTCTGCAGCAGTAGCATCACATTTCTGCTCTTTTCACAAAGCCCTCTGGGAAAGGACAAGCCGGCAGACGTGGTAAGTGCACCTAGAGAGACAGAGGAAGACTCCGGCTGAGTCCTGCACTTCCACTCTGACAGCACCTGCTGCCAGGCTCTTTATCACCAGTCTGACTCATGAAACAGC